TTAGTCAAAAGTACAGGTGAATAGATTTCTTAACCCATGCTTTTACTTTTTCTAGGGAAAACTGTACTCACTCGAAAAAATTCCAAATCCGTTTTTCCGCCATTTCTTCAATGTTTTTACTTTTTTTTAAATTATGGATTAGATCCACTGTAAAAAAAAAGCAACAATGCTTGAAAAATCGAACTCTTTGCGTTTTTATCTGGAGAAGAACAGAACACCTAAATCTTATGATGGTTCGCTCCAATCAAATCAAAGTTGGGTATTTCCACTCCAATTATGAGAAGAGATTAATAAGTAACATGCACTTCCCACCACTTACTGTGAGTAGAAGTTACATCTCAGCTCAGCAGCTCAAACTCGCCAACCCTAAGAAAACACAAACTTGCCCCCAAAAATGCTGTCATCTTAGTTACTCCTGAAATGAACCACCTATATGTACAGTACGTAAAAAACCAAAAGGAATGAGGAACGTCTCTAAACAAGTCGGAGGACAATGACGCACTGTACTGACCGTGGAAGGCGTCACTCGGATGAGGAGTCACGCGGTTGGCTACGTGCCAATACGAAAACGACGCCAACATAGTCGAAATCGCGGCAGGACACTTTATCGATCGGCTTATGTTGACTGACGTCATCGGGACGATCGATATCTACAGGTAGCTTTACCTGTAGATGTCTTTTGTGATTTGACGATCAAAAATCTTAAGTTGATGGAAATTGCTCGGCTAATTACTTACTTGCAATTGCTGCAACGTGCAAAATCATATTTTCTCACATGCGGAGCGACTGGGGAAACGCTAGTCCTGGGAAGGGGATTTTCTTAGGAATTTTTGGGATTCTGACTTTTGCTACCTAGTTAGACAATTATAATAGAACATGCGTCAAATCTAACGTCAATATAGCTCGGAACAAACGCACTATATTTGAGACAACCAAGATCAACAACCGAAAATCGTCGAGTTCACAAGGCGCAAAATCCTCAAGAAAAAAACCCCCTAACTTGACCAATCCAGAAAGACACTAATCGTCTAACATCAAAACAACGTCATAAGTTACCATCAGCAGTGAAAGCATAAGCAAAACTATATGCAAAGTAGGTCATGCACTTCCTCACCACCGGCTGGCGCGGAACACTCAAAAACGAAACGGATTAGCGAGTACTCGTACGGCGTCTGTCGCATCACGATCTGCGTCTCTGCCCTCTCTCTCTCTCCAAACATACGTGTGCCTTATCGTTCTTGTGCGTCTACGCTCTGCCTCGCGGATGCGCCGTGGAACTTTGTGACAGTTTGTCATCACGGCAAATTTTTGTCATCATAGAAATTCCAGCTGGTCGTAATTCTTTTGCAACTTGCGTTTTATAGGAATTTGAAGTTTTTTGAACTTCTGACTGGCGGTTATATTCTCAGCCAACTTTTTCTATTGCTTCAATAGTTTAATCTGATGCTGCCTTGATTTTAAAGCAGGATAAAGAAGCGACCGGATCTATCTAGTTGTTAGAGCTTTTTCTCTGTTTCTCCGCACGATATTTTATCTCTCCTTGACTTCCTCCGGTCCTAAATTTTTTACCTGTCTTGACTCCCCTATCCCAAAAATTTTTAGAATTCAGAAATAGCCGTTATCATTAATCCATTTTTCTTTCAAGTTCAGATCTGATTCCGTAATATAAAATTCAGTCATTTGGCTATGCGCAAGCATAAAAAAA